TCTCGTGGTCCAGCAAGAGGTAATCTACCATTGCATTGTCAACTGTTGAAGCTGAATATATAGCAGCAGCAGGATGCAACACACAAATTCTCTGGATGAAAAGCCAACTTGAAGACTTCAACATATATGAGAGTAACATTCCTATTCTGTGACAATACTTCTGCTATATGTCTTTCAAAAAATCCCATTTTACATTCTAGGGCTAAGCATATAGAAATTAAACATCATTTTATTAGGGACTATATTCATAAAGGAATTCTTTCATTAAAATTTATAGACACAGACCATCAATTGGCTGATGTTTTCACTAAACCCCTTTCAGAAGATAGGTTTAACTTCATTCTAAAACATCTCAGCATGAAATTATGCCCAGAATGATAGTTTTGTTTATGTATACGTTAACCCTCAAAATTTTATGCCTTTATTATATTTTTTGTGTGAACATCTGATCAATAGTTCTTAAGAAGTAAAAAGGAAGGTTGTATCAGGATCTATCTAAGAAGATCTGAATGCTCTCCAAACAGTTCATTTTAAAGATAGAATCATGAAGTTCACAATATCAACATTTGTCAACACTACACAAGGTTATCCTCTAAGTCTGAACACGTGTTCAAATTCTGAAGAGACTGAAACGTTGAGTTAATGAATTGAGGCTCGTGTCATATCGGTAACTATTTCATATCTTTACGCTATCCCTCTTTTCAGGAATCATCAATGCATGTAATAATTTTTTTCAACCTTTTCTTGTTAATTGAATCTTCTATTTTCCTATATATATTTACCTCGTTCACCTTCACTATCACATTTCCACTCAATTCCTTTCTCTCTCTCAAATTTGTTCAATTTTTCAAAAACCCTAAAAGAGTCTGTGTGAACAAATGGCTTCCTCTCAACAACTTGCTCAAAGTTATCAAAGGATTCCTGGCTCTTCTTCCTCAAAAGCAGAAAGGCACGAAGAACCCTCAAGAACTCTCTTCACACCCATTGATTCACTGGAAGTTCTGTGTGAGCTCATTGTTGATTTTGTCAGCATGAAGGAAAACAGATACGATTTAAACCCTGATGTTGAGTTCCAAGGGTGGACTAAGCACTTTGATCATCTCTTAGGTCCAATTTTTCCAAGACTCGTCAAAGAATTCTGGATTCACACTACAGATTCAAATCATCAGGTTACTTCTTTCGTTATGGGAAAGAAAATCTTCATCTCTGAAGATCTCATTGAGCAACTGATAGGTCGCGACGGCGACAGTATTCGTTGCAGTGATATGGCTGACAAAGGCTCTGACCTAACCAAGATTTCAAAGGAAATCTTTACTTCTGGCCAACCATCCAACAAAATCAAAGATCTGAAAGATTACCTCAGAATTTGGTCTAAAATCATTTTGGGTTGCATCAATCACAGGAAGCCTACATACTCTCTAGATTACATCAATATTGATCAGCAGTATCTTCTGCACTTCATATCCACCAAAGCAAAGGTTAATGTTCCACATGTTCTATTCAATCATCTGAAGACCAGCGTCAAAGTGACAAGAGAAGAAGAAAGAAGAAAAAGAGATTGAATCCCTCTAGAAAGACTCATTTCAGATATTCTGACAGAAAATAAACTGATAGAGCATCTGACTGAGGCTCAACAAGCTAGCACTATGGAAGCTTATGCTGGTAAACCTCTCAACGCCAAAAATATGAAGAAGATGAAGATTATTGAAACTATTAATGAGGATCCAACAATAACCACCAAGGAAGTCATTACCACTAGAAGAGTACATCTGAAGGATTTTCCTCTCTTCACTCAAACAAATGCTTCTCCAGATATTGTTCTCATGTATCTGAATGCTTGCAAGAGGGATCGGAAAAATCCAGATGTGAACATCCATGATCTGAGACAACAACCTCTGGAAGTTGCTCCCAGAAAATCAATGAAAAGGAAAGCAGTTACAGAAGGAACTTCTCATAAGACTCCCAAATCTTCCAAAAAGAAAGGTAACCCTTCTTTTGTTTCTGTTATTTAATCAATACTGCTATCAACATATGAAAACCATTCATCTCCAAAACTCACAGAAGATCCTTCTCCTCAAACCTTTGATGACTTAGGCTTAGACTTTGACACCACAGTTCACCTAGATAACCTTATGAATAATCCATCTTCTACCCATTTTGACCAAAATCATCCAGAACTTGCATAAGTTCTCTCTGATATTAATCAATTTGATTCGCTGTTTGAAGCTCCTCACACAGAAAATCCAAATCTCGACTCTGATACCACAACATCCATCCCTGGAATCACCTTCCCTCTCATGGTCTCTAAACCACAAATAAATCCATCAACTTCTTCACGAAACCTCCCCATTCCAGATATTCTATCTCCTTATTAATCCACTCCACCAAACTCACCAAATTCACCCATTATCATCTCTGACTCTCCCTCTCCAAAAACCATCCATAAGATCCTCTTAGAAATGTTATAGACTTAGAAGCTTTGGACAATATCGTCATAAGATCTCAGAAAATTGTCGTTCCAAAACCAAAACCAAAATAATCAAAGCAGATGTTGGTAAATCTTTGCTGATTTTTGAAACATAAATACAGGAATGGGTTAACTCTCTGAAGCTAGCCTGCTTAGAGAATCTCAATCCAACTGCTTCTGATTCTCATTGGAACCAGTTCAGAAAATGGTTCAACTCTGAATCTCTGAAATTAAAGGAGCTTAGTTATGAAATAGCTCAACAGAACTTCTGTGATCGCCTTAATATCTTTAAGGATTACGTTCTGCAACACTGAGAAAAGAAGCCACTCCTTCTGCTGAACAATACCACTTGGGAATATCATCAACCATCAGAATGTGATGAAACATCCTCTGATCCTCTTCCTCCGGCCATGTTTAAGGACAAAGGCAAGGAAGTTAAAGAAGCTCCTGAGTCAGAATCGTCCGCAACTTGCTCTGAAAAAGTGGTCCCTTCTGCTGAAATACCCTCTTCTTCTCTTGTGCTGTAAACTCTGGAGGAGCTGAAGAAAGAAAATGATGTGTTTAAGGAAAGGATAAATAAACAAGATGAAACTTGCAATGAAATTAAGGGGATGCTTGGAAAATAAGAGGAATCAAATAATCAAATCAAGAATTTATTGGAAGCCCTGTTCACACGACTTCCACCATCTCAAACTTAGTTCTGAAATTTGTTTTCTTCATTGTGTTCTTTATTTGTTTCGTTGAATCTTTTTGAATACAACATGCCTTTTATTGTTTAAAGTATATTTATTGCTTTTTGATTATTGACAAAAAAAGGGGGAAAACGTAAGATATTTCGAATATAACAGTATCGAGACTCGGTCTTAAACATTTTGAATATCATAACTTCTATTGTTTTTTTTCTTCTGAAAGTAAAACAGGAACAAACTCTGCTGAGGAAATTTATGGACGCATCATAAATCTTTTTATCAAAAACTCTGATCAGAAAAATCTTCAGGGAAGTATTTCTTCTCTATCCGAGTATTCAACTCAGGGGGAGACTTTAATGCTTTATGTTCTTTACGCATTTGATCAAAATATCCAAGTTTTTATCATCATAAAAAAGGGGGAGATTGTTAGAACATAGTTTGTTTCTACAACCCTTATACGAGTTTTGATGATAACAAACACTCAAAAGAACAATTATGCTCCCTAAATAAGTATTTTGTTTTGCAGGGAAGTTCTGATGAAAGAAGCACAGAAGATGAATTAGATTGTTGTTTAAACTCTGATTCAACACATCTTATATAGAAAGCAAAATCTGTATATCACGTTTATATAAAGAAGTTCTAAAGCTACAACTTCTGAGTGCACTAAACGCTGTAAACAAGAACTCCGTTATTCTGTTTTGTACAGTTCTGGATAGAAGTAAAAGAGTCCCAATGGTAACATTCATCTTCTGATGTAATCTCTAGCAAGCATGTTTTGAAGCGTTACATTTCATTTATGACTATTCAAAAGTAACGACTGAAAGAGGACAAGAATCTCTATGTTTGGAAAGTTCTTTAATTACTATTTATCAACATTCCAAAAGCTCCTCTCATATGTTGCCTATATAAACAAGACTTGAAGGAGAAATCGTTTACGGTTTTTTGCTGCGCACTGCAAACGAGAAATTTCATTACCTTTAACTTACTAAATTTCATTTGTGTGATACTGTTTTGTTAGAAAACACATCTTGTATAAGTTTTCAAATATTGTATTGTGTAATACCTTGAGAAAACTGGGTTGTGATTTAAACTCAAGAAGACTTTGACGGTTGTCATCGTATTTGTGTAATCAAGTTTGATTAGTGGATTAAGACCTCGTTGAGAGAGGCGAAATCACCTTGACAGATGGACTGAAGTAGTTTGAGTTCAAATGAACCAGGATAACCAATGTGTCTTTTACTTTAAATTTTAAAAACTCTAATTCAAACCCCCCTTCTTGTGTTTTTCCATTTTTCACTAAGTCTTTTTAACCTAATTCAAGTCTATAAATAGGATCTTAGTTTGTCCTAGTTTTTTGGACACACAATTCATTCACAAATTACATAATTTTACAATCTCTCACAGTGTCACTCATTCACACTTCTTTTTAATTTTGTTTCAAAGTTTTCTTGACAAATAATATTATTGGTGTTATTATTTTGGCCAATGATTTTCATATGAGGTCTCTCTTTTAAATTTATCTTTTTTGAATTTTAATTTGTTTGTTTTGTTTAAGACCAGTTGATGATTATTTATGATGGCTATTATACTAAGTTTTTCCTAAGAATTTTTAATACATTATATATTAAACAAAGTTAATTTTCTCACTACCAAAACAATTCACTAACTCTTTATTCGATACAATTTCCACACACTTTTATTCACACTGCGAACCACTCACATAATTCTAACACTCTCATTCAGTGCACATATTTTCTAAAATTCTTACTACAACTTCGATACCAGTCACCAATTCATACACATCCTTTTTGGTTACATTTTGTCCATAAATTTTTACACTAGCAATGACCATGTTACCGTATGGTCATGTACATAAATTTTTTCTCACAACTAGTTCTAACAACACCGTGATCTCATATCCGGATCTACTCCACCGACACAACTCAGTGCCACAACAACCACATAACTTCGATCCCTCCGTGCCTCTGCCTTACAACACACCCTCACTGTCAGCTCCAACCACTGCGCCGATCGTTGATGAGTACACACTCTCTACCGCACCACCGTTGCAGTTACTCGCCCAGCTTCCGTGTATCCATAACCCGCGATTTCGAAGTAATTCTGGTTCTCAATCCCCCATCACAACACCTCCGAGCCGTAGCCCGCAAAGATGCAAATACTTCCGCCTCTGTTCCGCTCCGACGAACACGACAGACTTCTTTGACACCCACCAGATCCGTGACTCCATCAACAGCCGCCGTTCAAGAATAAGTCATGATGCAGAAGCCCATGTATCCAACAACCATGTCTCCATGAGCTCCGTGCTTTCTGATCAACACCATAATCTCCAGCTCTGACCGTAAGCTCACCCCCACGTCGACCACCAACGTTTTTTTTTGCATGTCTTGGGTGCCTGCCCATTGTTTTTGCATGTGTTTGAACTATTAGGATCTTGTTTGAAAGAAAAGAAAAGCATGGAAGATGAGAGATCGTGAGGTGGGATAAGAAAACAATGAAGAACAGAGAAAAAAGAAGATATACAACTTGTTATTTTTCCTGATGCTAATGCTTTTTGTTTATTGTTTTTATTTTATTTATTAACTTTACCACGTGTTGCAGATCCATTACCTGATAGTTAAATTTTGAATTGGTCAAAGAGGTCTATTAAAGGTTCCGCCCCAACTGGTACCAATGATCATTTTTTCAATCTTTTTATATTTTATTTTTTATTGGTTATTGTGATACGGTGAGATAACTGACTTGGTTGTTTTGCGTTTGATCGTAAATGTTGCGGTTAGTAAAAGTCGTCCCGACTTTTCTTTTATTCAAAAGAAAAGGTGAAAAAGCACAGGAAATACCTTTGAGATGTTTTCTTGAGTTCGGGGGTAGATTATGAAAAGGGAAGGTATTAGTACCCTTTTCATCCATGGTTTTCCACCGACTCTTAGTTACTTGCTAGATCACTTGCTTTTGTTTGAAAATGTGCTTTGTGTAGTTTTTGAAAGTATTTTGTAAAGACGTCATCGTTTAGGCAAACTTTGTAATGATTCTCGTTCGTAAGAATGTATCCAAAGGTGTTGATCTTTTGAAAATGTTTTCAAGTTTGAAAGGTGTTTTGAAAGTGTAGGTGTTTGTTTTGAAAATAGCAAGGATGTTTTTATTTTGAAATGGAGCAAGTAACTAGGAACATTCTACCTACTCAAAAGTCTTTCATGTTCATTTCCTTTTTGCTTTGACGTTGTTATCTTACCAGTGATTTGGTAAGTAACCCTATCTTTGGATGTAAAAGGGACGGGTGTGGGTCATCGTATAACCATGATTAGCAATGTTGCAAGGTATCTTAGCATTTTCTTTAGGGACTAAGATCATTTTGAAAGGCAACATAGATAGCGCCATCGAGGGACTATGATCTTGTATTTTGTTTGTTTTTGCTAAGATACCTCACATGCATAATATGACCATTTTTGTAAGGCAACATAGTGGATTTATCCTAGGGGTGTAAGTGTGCAAGTGTATTGATTTGCATGCATTGTTTTGTCTTGATTAGGGTTTGCTATTTGTTGGTTTTAGTCTTTCCATACAAAACCCTAATTACTAACATTTGTATATAAAGCATTTAAATTGCGGAAAATAAAAATACTAAGCTATTACAATACTTAGGGGAGGGGTATACAAATTACAAATGGGGAATATTGCAAGAAATTAAATCTAAATAATTATTACAACCATATTGAATTTGAATAAATGTACAAAATAAGGATAAAATGCAAGAATATGTAATGTAAGGGGAAATGTGATTTTTTTTTATGAAAAGGGTTTTTTGACCTAATTAATTAAAATAAAATAATTAACTAAAAAAAGGAAATTAATATTAAGTTAGTAGAATAAATTAATTTAAAGAAAACAAGTTTTTTAGGGTTTTGGTGAATTTAATTAAGTTAGTAAATAAAAATCCTAAATTCTAAATTGATTTTAATTTATAAGAAAAATAAATAATATAATATAATAATAATTAAAATTAAATTATCTAAGTATTTAAAAAGGTAAATTTAATTATTAAAGAAAATGTAAAAGAAATATTTTTATTCTTTTGTTTTTGTGAAGAAAAATAAAATATAAAATGTGAAAATAATAAATAAAAATACTTTTTAGGTTTTTATTACTAATAATAAAAATAATGATAATAATAGTAATAATAAAAAATAATAAAGAAAATATGAAATAAAAATAAAATGAAGGGAAAAACAATAAAATAGAAAATAAAATAATGGGCCAGGGGTGTGAATAACAAGACAGGGGGGTCAGAAGTAGCAAAAATAATAAAGCCCAAAGGGGGGGGGGGGGGGGGGGGGGAGGCCCAGCACTGCAAAAAAGCCAAAAAATGTGAGAAAAATACAAAAAGGTCACGCTGGGGCTTGAAGCCAGGACCTAAGGGTGACAGGTGCACGCTTTAACCACTGGGGTGGTGATACATCTGTTAACTTATGTCAAACCATAAATATATATTAGAAACTGCTTCATGAAAACAACTTCATCTTCAACCTCTGGCCGGACCACCTGCATCTTGTTCATTTCTCATCCATTTACAAAAATGTAAACATGAAACTTGTGGCAAATTTCCTCACGATTTCAGAAATGTAAAGCATTAAAACTATAGATCAAATACAAACATGAATTTTAATGGCCCTAATCTGAACGCTAACTTTTCCAGAAATTTCAATCTTAAAATTCTCTAAGCTCAAGCAACATAAATGAAAACTATGGACATGACTAGCTTCAGGGTAATGATATCTACATTTTTCATTCACAAATTAAATATTAATGATGCTTGTATGAAGAGTTCCAAGTTAAGGAAACTTACCTCAAAATTGGAAGTCGTGTTCTGAGTTTGAACAATCCTCAAGGTGTGGTGATGATCAGAATAGCTCCACTGAGGTCCCAGGAAGCTAATGCAATGTTTAGTTTGTACTGGAGATGGCTGAATCGTGCTGGAGAAGTCCAAGTGAAAAGCTCTGTTTTTGAAATGGAGGATGGTGTTAATGGTGTTACAGTCTTGTAACAGGGTTTGGGATGAGTTCTAAATGATGTTTAGAAGCTTTAGGAACAAAAAGGCTTGAAAAAGCACGAGGGAGATGTGAGTTTCAAACTTTTGGTCAGGTTATGCAAGAAGGGAGGTATGTGATGCAGTTCTGAGTTTTTGTGAGTTTTCAGGCTTGTGTATGCGTGTGTTTTGTTGCCAAGGACTTGTGTATCTATAAGCAAAAGGTTGGAGAGGTTTTTCACAAAGGATTTCTGAGTTATAGAGCTATGGCTAGGTTGCTTGATTTTGAAGAAAAGTGAAAGTATGGTTCCAAGATGAAGTACAAGCATGGGTTGAGTGATCGTAAGACTTGAGACAAGCTTCTCTTGAATTATAGGACGTGTATGATCAGAAGAAAACAAATGCAAGGCTCAAGAACACATTTTGTGCATAAAGCTACTTTTTCAAAATGGCATTGTGCAGTTTCTTCCTAAAATGGATATAAAGCATGGAATTGCATTGAATGCTTGAGTTGAGACCTCTAACAGCTGTGCAAGCATTTAATTATAGAGTGCTTAACAAGTTTGAGTCCTGCAAAGTAAAGATTATGCAACATAGGTTTGAAATTCGAATTTTGTTCATCACAAAATTTGCCTTGTAAAACAACTTGAAACCCCAACTTCCGACCTTCGATTCTCCTTGCTCACAAATGATGTTAAGGAGTTCTTGGACTTTTTAGAAATCTTGTAATGTGATCTACAACCCCTCTTTGAATCACTTTTGCATAATCCAAATGGAACTAGGTGAAACTTGGGTCAGAAGTTAGGTCAAAATCCTGACCAAAAATGTTCAAAATTTCATTAAGTGTTTAGTTTTATGATCATGACTTCATGGATTAATAACTTGAGATCCAAGCATTTCTAGGAGAATTTTTGTAAGCAATGTTTTAGATCTCATTGAGATATACAACTTTCATGTTGAAAGTTTCTTTTGAATCATCTTGCATCATGGTGAAAACTTGGCTCAAAGTTGTGAAAAAACATGAAACTTTCAACACTTAGAAAAATTTCTAAGTTTGAAAACTTTGACTTTTCAAAATGAAATCTTGACTTTTTGATTCCTTGATGAATAAGTTTCATATTTTGCCATATTTTGATGAATTGTGATATTTGACACCTGATTTTAACCAAAAAGTCAAAGTTTGACTTTTCAATGTACAATTGACTTTTGGTCAGTTGACTGAAAATTCACTATCAATCCAATTGATCTTGAGCAATGTTTTGAGTCATGCCATTAGGTCAAAATGATGCAATTGAACTCTTGAGATTATGCCTCAAACCAATTAACCATTTGCTAGGTCAAAAATTAGAAATTTCCCTTTCCTAGTCAAAACCCTAATTTTGACCATTTTGCCATTTTGATGATTTGATCAAATTTCTTGAGGAATTATGGTCCAAACTTGATCAAATGATACATATGAGTTTATAATATTGATGTGGATCAAAAATCATGAAGTTTGACTGTAAATGGGCCATAGTTGACTTTTTCCCCAATATAGTTGATTTTTAGGTCAACTGCTCAATTGACTGAGCAAAAATGTGATCCAAGGCTTGAAACTTGACATGAGTAATCTTGAGGGTCCATAATGATCCATGAAAGTCATATGAGGCATTGAAAGTTCGATTATCCTTGTGCAATCTCAAACCCTAATTTTAGTCATCAATGTTTAAGGAGGTGTCTTGAGCTGATCAATCCTTGTGTAGCATTGAACCCAAGGAGATCTTGTGGGAAAATACTTGATAAATGAGAGCGAAAATTTTGGGGTACAACAGCTGTCCCTGTTCAATCTTATTAAACCTGAAGAGTTAGATTGGCGGATCCTCCATTCGTGACTTGAAGGTGGAAGATGATTGGACACTAGAGTGCCCAGAAATTTGCACTTGAAGATGTGGTGGTTGCTGGTGTAGGGAATGGGCTTAAAGATGCCATTTGGAGAGATGATGGAAATTTGTCGGAGATGGGATTACATATGCCATCCAAAAATGATTTTTGGTAGGAATGGAAGAAGTGTCAGAATAAATCTTTGGTTGATTTATACTGAAATAGTGGATGTGTTGGGTTGAGTACTAGAATAATATCCATAAATGGATTATATTTGACTCGTATATGAAAGCTAAAACTGAATGAGTATCGGAATGGAATCCGTATCTGGAGCGTATCTGAACCGTATCTGAAATCTGAAATCTAAATGAGTATCAGAATGGCATCAGTATCTAGAGCGTATCTGAACTGTATCTGATTGAGTATCAGAATGGCGTTCATATCTAGAGCGTATCT